ACAGAGAGAAATAAAAAAAAAGCGGTGTGAAACTGGCAAGCACGTGTCCACAGTCGTAGGGTTAAGGAATGCGTCCAGCAGCAGGCAGTGTCAAACGCATAGGAAACATTTTTAATATTTATGAAACGTTATATAAAGAAGACGGGGCGCCACAAGCTTAGCTCTATATATGTACCCTCGCATGTGTTTCAAGGCAAGACACGCACGCAAACGTAGGCGTTTTCTTTTATTTTCAGTCTCCACTGTGAGCATGCTTTTTTGTGCGCTGTTAGCCATCTTACTATCGTATAATCTTGTATTGTTTTCTGTTTGTATCATGTCTCCCTTCTATCTTGCAAGACAGTCAGCTGTAATGTTCTACCTCTACGCCCTTACTTCCTTAGAGTCAGCTGTAAGCTATGTTTACTGCTAACTCACTAACGTTTTGCTTTTTCTGCGTCATTGAGTATCCCTTTTCTCTACCTGTTGCTGCTGCTGCTGCTCCTCCTCCTCCTCTCTTCCTTACTTCCTCAATAACCTACCTCCATCCAATCCCAAGCCAACATATAGCATTTTAGCGTCGTAAATTTCAGCTGGAAGTCATTATTGACACGTAAAATTGTATCACCTGCGTGTCCTCCCCGCGCGGGTACCTTTGACTCTGGCCTCCGTCTCTCTAATACCCACTACCGTAATGTACACAAGTCCAACATCCCGCCAGGATCACCAGCATAATTACACATGTCCAATATACGCTCAGCCACGCCCACTTCCTCCAAGCCCGGTGGACTGTCCAACACCCTCCTCCTCCCCGACTCCTGCTACGGCTACACCTTCCCCTTTATTAATCCTTTTCTTTCTTAAAATTCTACAAATATTTTTTATTATAAATTGTCCTCATCCTGTTTCCCTTTGTTTCTCTTTCCGAACCCCCCTTACTCTTCCCCTCCCCCCACTCCCTTTTTCCCTTACTCCCTTTTCCTCACCTTACATTCCTCTCCCAGCTTCACTCTTCTTTCCCACCTTCACTCTCCAGATCCCCCCCCTTTGGCTCTCATACCCCCCCTTCCCTCTATTCCCCCCTTCGCACTCCTATCCCTCTTCGCTTTCCTACCCTTCTTTGCTCTCCTAACCCTCCCTGCACTCTCCTATCCCCACTCGTTCTCCCCTTCACTCTCCCGTAACTCTTTACTCTACTATCTCCCTCTTCACTCTCTTATCTCCCTTCGCTCTCCTATCCCACATAGCTCCCCTATCCTCCTTCACTCTCCTATCATTCTTCACTCTCCTATCCCCCTATACTCTCCTATCCTCCTCCACTCTCCTCTTCCCCCTGTCCCCCTCCCATAATTCTTTCCAGTGAATTTTCCCTCTTTCTTTTCGATTTTCTTATTTTTACCGTGTATTTTTCCCCGTATTTACTTTCTCCATATCTACCCCATGTCCACTTTATGCTTTATATTTATGTTTAATTATATGGTATTGAATCATTACGCTGTGAAGAAATGAACAAATGAATGGAGTAAATAAAAGAATATATGAGTGAATTTTACAAATGTTGCTCAATCTAAGGAACTATCTGTTGGGAATCGACAAAGTTATAAATATTGATATGGCTGGTGAGACCCATATTAGATATATATGGCTAGGAAAAGGATCTCGGTATGCTCCTCAGACTCGAGGAGTCGAGGATATTGTTGACAACATAGACAGCATTATAGTTGGAAATGGGAACTGAGGCTTTTTCTCAGGCATTACTGGCCAAATTTAAGACATCAGATAAGCTAATTAGAATCAAAGGAGGGAGAGATCCTGATCATATGTGTAATTTTGCTCAGGATGAGATGGCATTGTGGCTGTCCAGGATAATTGCTATAAATTTAAAAGCATTAGAAATCTACTGCAATCTCTTTGACGACTAAGGAAACTATTCTGACAAATCAAGTTTATTCTAGGAATTGAACGTATTTACTCAAGACCAGTGGAGATATTAGCACGCTTAGTTAAAGGGAACAAAGTATGGAATATGTTACGATTTAAAATAAAGGAAGATAAGTGGTCTAGGAGTCTGTTGGGAAAAGGAACACGTTATGGGCCTCTTGGTCACATTTAGATCATGGTGAGATGTTTGGGTGGTAATTAGAAAGTTTAAAATACAGTGTAATACAGGAAATTGCATCAAAGCCCCCCCCCCCAAATGACATTTAATTAATGTAATTAAAGCTTGATATGAGGAATACGAAAGCCATCAAACCTGGAAGAATGGAAGGGAGGCATATCTGGGCAAAAATACCTAGAATATTTTTGTGTAATAACGTTCACATTGTACGTGACAACTTTAGTAAAATAAACTGGATAAATAAAACAGGAAATGATAAGTGAAAAGTTTTTGTGGGTAGCTGAAGACTGCTTTCTCAAATAGCATTTTACAGAACCATCCACAGATAATATGTCTACTTTGTACTAGCCAAGGTGACAAATAAATAACATCGAAATAGTTAGTCTAAATTATCATAAAAATTTCAGATTCCACATAACATGGACAAATTGCGTAATACAAAAGAGCAAGGCTTCTAAATTTTAGAAGAGCTGATTATGTGGGATGAGCGTAGCTGATGCGAATAAACTGGATGGACGTTCTTGTGCGAGCAGTGGAGTTTTACACAGTAGATAAATGCTAAAACACCATTACTGATATTCTTCTTTAAGCTCAAGTTTTACACAGTAGATAAATGTTAAAACACCATTAATGATATTCTTCTTTAAGCTCAAGTTTTACACAGTAGATAAATGTTAAAACACCATTAATGATATTCTTCTTTAAGCTCAAGTTTTACACAGTAGATAAATGTTAAAATACCATTACTGATATTCTTCTTTAAGCTCAAGTTATATTCCTTAGAAATCACTTTATCGATAATGATCTTAAATCAATGAACATGAAATTAATAACTTAAAATGGAGAAAAGAATGTATAAATGAGTAAAGAATGCACATGATAACCTAAGAAATCGATTTATAAAGTTAGCAAAAAATTGAGAGATGAAAAGCGATAAAAATTATTATGGAAGGTGCGAGGGAAGCAGATTGGTTAAGTCCCTGAGGGACTTAAGTCAGATGCATCATAATAGGTTCGGAAGAGAACTGGGGACCTTAACCATCTAACTATCAGCATCAACGTTTACCAAAGGCTCTTCACATTTTCGGATTTGATTACTATTACCCAATAATTCCACACAATTGCTTTAACTTTGCCATGTATATCTGGTAATTCTTCAGAGAGGCTCTGTGGCCTGCAATGTTTACCTTCTTGACAAACTTTTAAAAATTCCATATCATTCCGACTGAATAGTCTAATTAGACTACTCCTAACTCCTTTCTTCTTTTATCCATTAATCAGTTTGTTATTTGTATATTTTTATAAACTGTTGAATTAAGATAAGAGAGCCATGCAGTCATTACATTGACAATAACGAAGATACCCTCATCTGTTATTTTCCCAAGGGATTCTCTAGCATCTAATAGCTTCGACATTTTTGCCACGGATAATCTTTACTTTAACCTATTGCGGTCATTCCAAACGCCACCTAAGTCATTTTAAACGCTCTTTTAATTTTTTTCCATGGGAACTTTCAACCGCCAATAAACCTCCTATATTTTTTCGCGTGGGTTAAAATAAAGCCAATACCATCAGACCATCTCTCTCTATCTCTATCTCTGTCGCAAAAAAACAGAGGCTCAATAAACTTCCAGCGTGAGCAAACTTTCTATCCTCATCACTACCAATCACTCGGCATCATCCGCTAAAAATGTTTCGTTGTCTATTTTTCTAATGCGGAAGCCCGAAGCTCGGGGACCCTTTCGATAATTATTTTCACTCCCACCAATACTGGAGACAATAACCTCCTCCTACTCCTCCTGAAGTAGATACCTCCTCCAGATGAGCAAACACCTTCTGCAGATGAGCAGACATCTCCTGCAGATCACGAGGCACCTCCTTCAGATCAGCACACACACACACACCATGCAGGTGAGCAGGCGAGGGCCTCATTCATAACTATCAACCACAGCTATCGGCTTAAAAAAAAAAACTTGCTAATCCCGAGCACAACAACGTCTGGGCTACTGCTTTTTACACGCTTGTTTAAGGAACCAAATTCCTGCCCTCACTCAATTTCGACACTTTGGCGTGCAGGCATTAATGCACTCAATGCACCCAATATAAGAACTGCCTTTAGAAACTTGTGTAAGGAATCGTTCAGGACCCTGTATACCACTTATGTAAGACCAATCCTGGAGTATGCAGCTCCAGCCTGGAGTCCATACCTAGTTAAACACAAGACGAAGTTAGAGAAGATTCAGAGGTATGCCACCAGACTGGTCCCGGAACTGAGAGGAATGAGTTACGAGGAAAGGCTAAGGGAGCTGAACCTCACAACCCTGGAAAACAGAAGAGTAAGGGGAGACATGATAACCACCTACAAAATCCCATACACAGTTTCAAATGTAGATATGATAGAGCCCAATAGGCTCAGGAATCTGTACACCAGTTGATTGACAGTTGAGAGGCGGGACCAAAGAGCCACAGCTCAACCCCCGCAAACACAACTAGGTGAGTACTCAGCTGAATTTTGTTTTAAGTTTCTTCCCTTCCGAGACGGACAACCCGGCCGACACTCCCCAAGATGGACAACCCGGCCGACACTCCCCAAGATGGACAACCTGGCCGACACTCCCCAAGACGGACAACCCGGCCGACACTCCCCAAGATGGACAACCTGGCCGACACTCCCCAAGATGGACAACCTGGCCGACACTCCCCAAGATGGACAATCTGGCCGACACTCCCCAAGATGGACAACCTGGCCGACACTCCCCAAGATGGACAACCTGGCCGACACTCCCCAAGATGGACAACCCGGCCGACACTCCCCAAGATGGACAACCCGGCCGACACTCCCCAAGATGGACAACTTGGCCGACACTCCCCAAGATGAACAACCTGGCCGACACTCCCCAAGATGAACAACCTGGCCGACACTCCCCAAGATGAACAACCTGGCCGACACTCCCCGAGATGGACAACCCGGCCGACACTTCCCGAGATGGACAACCTGGCCGACACTCCCCAAGATGGACAACCTGGCCGACACTCCCCGAGATGGACAACCCGGCCGACACTCCCCGAGATGGACAACCCGGCCGACACTCCCCGAGATGGACAACCCGGCCGACACTTCCCGAGATGGACAACCTGGCCGACACTCCCCAAGATGGACAACCTGGCCGACACTCCCCGAGATGAACAACCTGGCCGACACTCCCCAAGATGGACAACCTGGCCGACACTCCCCAAGATGGACAACCTGGCCGACACTCCCCAAGATGGACAACCCGGCCGACACTCCCCAAGATGGACAACCCGGCCGACACTCCCCAAGATAGACAACCTGGCCGACACTCCCCAAGATGGACAACCCGGCCGACACTCCCCAAGATGGACAACCTGGCCGACACTTCCCGAGATGAACAACCCGGCCGACACTCCCCAAGATGGACAACCTGGCCGACACTTCCCGAGATGAACAACCCGGCCGACACTCCCCAAGATGGACAACCTGGCCGACACTTCCCGAGATGAACAACCCGGCCGACACTCCCCAAGGAGAGAAACCACAGAAAAGGGTATAGTGCTAGGTAATTAGGTGTATGATTACACTATTATGAAAATGTAGGGAACATAGCAAGCGTGATCAATATAGAGGTATTAGTGTTCATTATGTTGTGGGCAATGTGTAAAACAGAAAAGCGACCGAAAAGTGTATATATCATCTAAGAAATTGATGAACAAGATGGTGTGCGTAGTGGACGAGGATGTACGGGTCAGATATATACATTGAGACAACCAGTGAAGGAAGCGTGTAATAAGGACAACATTATATGGTAATTTAGGGAATTATTATCATGGATAAAACTTATAATAAAGTGAATATAGATTTCTTGAGAATAGTAAACATGTATGGAGATGTTGGAATTTGATTTAATGCTGTGAAAAACTTATAAAAAGTCGAGCATGTATGAGAGTTAGCAGTGTAAAGAGTGAAAGATCTGTCATTAATGTAGGAACATGTCAATGTATATATGGATGGAGTAATGAGGTAATACTATAAAAAAGAGTAGATGAAAAACGTCTTTCTGAAAGAGGTATTCATGTTCCCCCTATGCAAGGTCTAGTTGATCCAACCCATGGACAGTAAGCTGCATACTTTGGGCAGGTCGACATACTGCAGTATCGCAGCGAGATCTTTTCTAATATCCCAGTCAGATATATACTTGTGTCACACTGGAAAATTCTCGATCCAGCCTTGAGAATGCTCATTCGTGAACACACTAATCATTTACAAGCGCAATTGACCATCAAAGAGCTCCAATAATAGCTAGTTTGCCCAGTCGGTCGTTATCTTTAACTACCACCAGATGTCAGCACCAACATGTACACAGAGTATCGAGGCTCTATACATCTCACATTTCGCCTGGTTACAACCTCATAAAAGCACAGAAAATTGGGACAAAGGGAGAAGGAACAGCTGCAAATAACCTTGTGCACTGCTCAGGAAGGTGCTCTTCAACAACACTCAATGCATTTTTTCTGACCTATACCGCTCGGTTGTTCCGTAGGCGAGATTATTTCAGTAAGAACTCTATTACAAACAATGGGATGGTGCTTGTCCGTGCCGTAGAGTCGAACCAGTTAGACCTGTAGAAAGTGATCCGGCTTTTAGCAAAATTTAAAGATTCGAGCGGAGACTACACACAGGTGGCCCACCAACCAAAACAGGAGCCCAGAATGCTGAGCATGAAGTTCAACAACCCAATTACGGGACCACTTAAAACCAATCAATAGAGAAGAAATCCACCAACATTCGATCTCCTGCATGAGGCGGGCAGCAACAGCAATCATGGCTGAACCGCCCACATGGGAGCAAGTCAACTCATACAGTTCACAAAAAAACTTCAGCTTAAACCAGTCTTCATATCGAATAAATGAATAAATCGCTTCCTATTGTATCTAGGTGAGAAGAACAGCATCTAGTGCAAAAGCACCTCGATTATGGGATTAACTGACATAATACAGTAATGTTTGAATCCACGCAGATGAAAACGAACTCATTTGGGGCATCCCAAATGCTTCGTATATCCACAAAAACAAGGCCGCGTCCTCCTATCCTGTCCTAATTGGATGAAAAAGACATTAACATATTCGAATATCATACTACTGTGATAATTAAACTCCGAGAAAAGCCACCCTGATTGCGGTCAATTCTCCTGACCTCATATGGGTTGAAATAACCAATAAAACCAATGTAACTTACCAGACTGCCAAGTCGTCAACATTTCAGTGAGTTCAAGTCTTATGAGCAATCAAGTGGAGACATTTAGGTGCATTACCTCAATCTGACTTCATTCCATATAGTTTGAACATCAAACTCCCAAGTTGACATTGAATTTTCTTTAGCCAGGTGAAAACTAGTCATTTATATAATATAAGGAGATAGCAGATTCCCTTTATATCCAACTGCATGACAAACAAGCTGAAGACAGTTTGTGCTATACGGCGGTATATCACAGAGGAACCGCATTGACGAATGTGGTTCCTCTGAGCAGCTGCCGTTAACTACCGCTCAATGTCTGCCAGATCTTCGGGTCATCCGCACCGAGGTTGACCTTCTTGAAGTCGACACATTAAATGTATAATGGCGGTACTATCGGGCTTTCTGTTACCAATCTTGTACTCTCCTCTCACTTAGGCTATACAAATACATTATACGCCATTTTGGAGATAATCCAACACCAGCCACTGCTGATGCCACTCATTTTCAGAGATTGGCCTTATACATATCAGTAATATATTTCTCCTTGTAACTTAATTCGCCATATGACTTCCTGGTAGTGGTCACTAGTTGAGTAACTGTCTTCATCACTACCAATTGCATGATAAAATGTCAAACTTGGATATGATTGGTAAAAAATTAAGAGTTCAAATTTATCAAAACCATGTTAACTTTTTTCAATATGGTTATTACCAAGAAATAAAAACAACACTTTAGAAAAGGATTATGACTTTCTCAATATTTAAATATATCTATTAAGTATATCTATTAAATATATCTATTAAAAATATCTATTTACCTGCCCGAAACGCTGCGCGTACTAGTGGCTTTACAAGATTGTAAATACTATGCTATGTATTCTCTCTAACCCAATGTACCTTCTTATATATAAATAATTAAATAAATAAATAAATAAATAAATAAATAAATAAATAAGTGCTTGAGGAAGGCCTGAATGACCGAACTAGGCCAAAAAGTAAAAAAAAAAAAAAAAAAAAGGCTTCTTAGGTCTCGTAAAATTGTCACAAGCAAGTGAACGATCAAAAACGTAAGCTGTTTCAAAACGGGCACACATTGTCAAAAACGCGTACACAAGGTCAAAAACGCGTACACAAGGTCAAAAACGCGTACACAAGGTCAAAAACGCGTACACAAGGTCAAAAACGCGTACACAAGGTCAAAAACGCGTACACAAGGTCAAAAACGCGTACACAAGGTCAAAAACGCGTGCACACGGTCAAAAACGTGTGCACACGGTCAAAAAACGTGTGCACAAGGTCAAAAACGTGTGCACACGGTCAAAAAACGTGTGCACAAGGTCAAAAACGTGTGCACACGGTCAAAAAACGTGTGCACACGGTCAAAAAACGTGTGCACACGGTCAAAAAACGCGTGCACAAAAACGTGGGTAATCGTGACATGAGGTAATAGGCATAAGGAAAGGAAAGATGAGAGTAAGGTAGAATCCCAAAAGAAACCCCTGCCAGCCAGAAGGTTCGCGCCCAAGGAACCGACCATTAGTCTGGTCTTGCGTGTTAAGGAAGGGCCCCGCCTATGTCCATGGGCGTGTGGGTGTGAGCGTGCGGACACTGAGGGTGCCAGGGGCGCCGGTATCAGTGTGGCATCAGAGGCCCTGACCAGCTACCGGTTGCTGCCAATACCAACATTACTGGGCTACCGGAAAAACGCAATGGTTGCTCGGCCTCGGCGGCCTCAAGAGGCTATGATGTTGCGCCTCACCTTCCTGTTAGTGGTGGTGATTCGTCCGGCTGGTTGTGGTGGTGGTGCTGCTGCTGCGTCCAGCTGGTTGTGGTGGTGGTGCTGCTGCTGCGTCCGGCTGGTTGTGGTGGTGGTGCTGCTGCTGCGTCCGGCTGGTTGTGGTGGTGGTGCTGCTGCTGCGTCCGGCTGGTTGTGGTGGTGGTGCTGCTGCTGCGTCCGGCTGGTTGTGGTGGTGGTGCTGCTGCTGCGTCCGGCTGGTGGTGGTGGTGGTGCTGCTGCATCCGGCTGGTTGTGGTGGTGGTGCTGCTGCTGCGTCCGGCTGGTTGTGGTGGTGGTGGTGCTGCTGCGTCCGGCTGGTGGTGGTGGTGGTGCTGCTGCTGCCGGCTGGTTGTGGTGGTGGTGCTGCTGCTGCGTCCGGCTGGTTGTGGTGGTGGTGCTGCTGCTGCGTCCGGCTGGTTGTGGTGGTGGTGCTGCTGCTGCGTCCGGCTGGTTGTGGTGGTGGTGCTGCTGCTGCGTCCGGCTGGTGGTGGTGGTGGTGCTGCTGCATCCGGCTGGTTGTGGTGGTGGTGCTGCTGCTGCGTCCGGCTGGTTGTGGTGGTGGTGGTGCTGCTGCGTCCGGCTGGTGGTGGTGGTGCTGCTGCTGCGTCCGGCTGGTTGTGGTGGTGGTGCTGCTGCTGCGTCCGGCTGGTTGTGGTGGTGGTGCTGCTGCTGCGTCCGGCTGGTTGTGGTGGTGGTGCTGCTGCTGCGTCCGGCTGGTGGTGGTGGTGCTGCGTCCGGCTGGTGCTGGTGGTGGTGGTGGTGGTGGTGGTGGTGGTGGTGGTGGTGGTGGTGGTGGTGCTGCTGCTGCGTTCACCACCACCACTACCAAGCACTCTCTTGGCAGTAGTGGTGAATATTGTCTGGCATAGCTGCGTCAGCCAGGCGGTGCTGAGTCGTCCTCTACCACCAAAAGTTCCCCCTACCTTGAGGAATCGCCTTCATTTCTCTCATTTTCCCAAGGTCATAAATCGAGGGTAGCAATATCTCTCATACAATTACAATTCTGCCAGTCTGAAACTGTTGGCGAGACGAGTTAATGATAGGTAATAGTGGGACTTTCAACCAATTTGGTCAAATACACCAGAAGATAAGCATACTAATGAGACCGAGATCGTGTAAAGCTCCGGGATTAAGGAATCGGTTCGTGTAAGGTGCGTGTGATTATGTGTGTGATGTACACGACTTGTATTGTTCTCATTATTTCCTTGTTATTTTGGATGCGTGAAGAAAGGGAAGACAATTGCTCTTGCACCACGTGAGGAAGTAGCTTCTTTGTTTACCTTACATATCAAGAAACAGCGTGTTGTCAGTATGTTTCAAAAAGTAGGTCCTGTCTTTGGACGATTATCTTAATATCTTACAATTCCTGACACTAATCTTTGAGACATGTGCTCTCAGGCAGCACGATTGGTAAAGATCTCTCACAAGACAACTAT